TATTTTCTGTCTTCCAAGGTACCACAGTCAGATGTTTTATCAAATGTTTCATAACAACTTCTTAATAAAGCAGTTTTCTCACCATTATCCCGGCCTCTGCTAACAGTTTTCTCAACTCCCTACTGCCCACCCCACCTCTAGGTATGAACTTTTGTTTGTTGTTAGTGCTGTTGAATTTATTTTGACTCCTAGTGACCCTGTGTACAGCAGAACAGAACCCTGACCAGTCTTTTTGCGCCATCTCCTCATCTTCTGGCACCTATCAGAAAATGCTCCACTGCTGTTCATGGCGTTTTCATGGTCAATTTTTTTTTGGAAGTGGGTGGCCAGATCTTTCTTCCCAATCTGTCTTAGTCTGGAAGCTCTGCTGAAACCTGTCCACCATGAGTGACCTTACTGGTATTTGAAATACCAGTAGCATAGCTTTCAGCATCACAACAACACACAGCCAACACAATGTGACAACTGACAGATGGTGGCGTGGTTCCCTGACTGGGAAACAAACCTGGGCCACAGCGGTGAGAGTGCTGAATCTTAGCCACTAGACTACAAGGGCTAGCTACCAGCTTTTGTAGCAGTTATCTATGGCCAAAATAATGTCACAAAACACATAGCCACACACTTTTCCGTTGACTCAAAAAGAATATATGTTCAGGGGCTGACCCTGGGGCTAACTGGTTAAGTTCACGCACTTCGCTTTGGCAGCCCAGAGTCTCACCAGTTTGGATCCTGGGCACAGCCCTAGCACAACTCATCAAGCCATGCTGAGGTGGCATCCCACATAGCAGAACTAGAAGGACCTACAACTAGAATATACAAGTATGTGCAGGGGTAGCTTTGGAAAGAAGAAGAAACAACAACAAAAAAAAGACTGTCAACAGGTATTAGCTCAGGGCCAATCTTTTAAAAAAAAAAAAGAATATATGTTCAACATAAAGTTACTGAGCACTTGCACTCTCCCAATATTCGTATTATCATCATAAAGTTATTGAGCATTTGCACTCTCCCAATATTCATATTAATCGTCAGTCTCTTTCCCTACTCAATAATTTGAAAATTGTTAATAATTTTCTCCACAAAATTAATAGCTTTCAGAATCATCAATTGCTGCATTTTTACTTTGCAGTAATAATTACAAATTTATACTTTGGCTTACAGAATTACAAGAGGAAGCTCATGAGATTTTATTTGGTTATATCTGGAACACTTACCTATACTTGAAAGTGAATACTCAGATGCTAATAATAACTCTAAATGTGATACTTTATTTCTATGGCTGGGATCATTAACATTAGTTAGATATGATGGTAACCTACATAATCACGCGATAATTTCATGTGCAGTTTCAGTGATGCCACAAATGATGCTGAAGCAGTTGATTATTCAGCCACCTAAAAGCCAAATAACTGAATTTGACTGAATACCAAGGCTAAAGGTAAACTTTGGTGTATCCCTAATTAAATACACAGATATTGGGAGTATATCCTTCCCAATTCTCACTGTTAGCATGTCATATCAAAAAAGTTGATGACACTGTCCTAGAATACTATAGTCTGGCTACGTCAAAAGATGAAATATTCTATCAACATCCGAAATTTTTCTATCTCAATATATGTGTATCCACATAAGTTGGGTTGAGATAAATCAACTGCAGGCTGAACTTTATTACAGTATAAGTTCTTAATATGAGACAAAAAGAAATTGCCACCAGGACACAAATATATTGTAGTAACTACTTCTAAAAAATTCAATAGTAATTTCTTTACATATATATGTCTGCATGCACACACATTCACACACACACATATTTGACAGATTCTGTGTATTGGCTTGCTCACCTCCATTCTACCTAGCTCCTAATTGGAGAGGAAGGAAGCTAAAAAGGAAAAACATGTATCCCAGGGGTTGACTGCACCTATTCTTCTGGTTGCACCCATTGGATGAAGTCTTGTCAGAGTTACGAGTGAGGCACAGCCCCTTTTTCCTACTTTTGTTGTTGTTTTTTCTGCTGGCCAGCAAGGACAAGGACAAGCAAGGCTTTTCTTCTGTGTTTCAGTGTGTACACCTGCCAGATTCTTGTGTGCCATGGAGTGGGTTCATCAATGACAGAGGCAGGAGCAGCTTCCTGAATTCTGGTTCCTGATCACTAGGTCATAATTGTAGGTAACTGTTCTCCAGCCTTCTAGATGTCAAAAAGCAGTGGCAGTAGTGACAGCTTATTGATTCCAGCTCCTTAAATTCATAGTGCCACCAATGACTTCAAAAGAGACAGCTTACCTGGTGGATTGGTTCTGTCTAGTTCTCAGATTTGTTTCTGAAGGCCAAACCTAGAATCCACTCCTTCAGCTCCCCAATGACTTTGTAAGTATTTAATTCACTATATTAAATCTCTTCTTGCTTAAAATATTTACAGAAGTTCAAACATTTGAAACTTTCAAACATTTTAAAGAAGTTTATAGTTTTCTCAAAGGATTTAGCATATTTTAAAAATATTTTTCAATATCTTAAACTTTAATATATTTAATATATAATAAATACAATCTAGGGAAGAAAGACAGGATACCCAAATATCACCAAATTATGAGAGCCTCACCTTTATTTATCAAAAACAGACCTCTCTTTGTGGACTAAAAGTGAGACATCATTGTTAACACGAATCAACTCTATATCAGAACAAGGTTACATATAGAGCTCATATCTCCTTCTTCCAGAAAAAGATAGTACAGAAAATACTGTGAGGTAACAGGATTAGAGTGAATTCCACATAACTCAATAATTTACTTACAAGTGGTAGTAGTATGCAAAGAGAGAAATGTAGTAATAAGAAAACAGAATAATTAAATCTAAGTTTCTAGACAGAAGACAAACCTTGGACCCATACAGGGCAGGTAACTGGGATGAGACCGCCCAGGAGCCTCACAGGACTGTCCTCTCAGTAAAATGGTGAACTAGAAAAAATAAGCCAACCACAAAATAAAAAGACAAACGAACGGGGTGGGGAGAGGGGGTGGAAGTAGCCCCTGAGAATCCATGCCCAGTCTGCCCATATCCGGGGTTTAATTTTCCGGAAGAGGAATGAAAATGGTCTAAGCTTGTGCTTCCCCAAAGTGGTGCTGGCAGAAGCAAGTGCAAGTATTTTCTGGAGGCACATATCCATGTCCAGACCATACAGGCGTCCCACAAATAAAGCTCAGCAAATGCGAGCCAACACCCAAAATCATAGAACACATGATGAAAAAGACCAGCATGAATAAGTTGTCAGCAAAATAACAAATAAAGAATTAGAGTCCTCCACCAAAGAATTCAAACATTTGTATTACCGAATATAGAATTAAAATGATTGTTTAAAATAAAAACAGGACTAAGAAACTGAGTTTAATACACAGAGTATAAGAAAAAGCTCAGTTGGGGCCAGTCCCGTGGCATAGTGGTTAAGGTCAGCATGTTCCACTTCTGCAGCCTGCGTTTGTGGGTTCGGATCTTGGGGTGGGTTTGGATCTTGGGTGCAGCTGTGCTGTGGCAGTGATCCATATACAAAATAGAGGAGGGCTTGCACAGATATTAGCTCAGGGTGAATCTTCCTCAAGCCAAAAAAAAAAAAAAGAGGCAGATTGGCACAGATGTTAGCTTGCGGCAAATCTTCCTCCAAAAACAGAAAGAAAGAAAGAAAAAGCAGACTGAGATAAAAGATAACCTAAAAAGTCAGATGCTGAGGCACAAAGATCCTTAAAGATTAATTTAAGGGCACAGACTAAGTAGCGGAGCTATAATATACCCCCTGCATTCTCACTTCAGAAAGTGTACTTTTAACTACTATTTTATGTTCTATTTTTAAGCTAGCCAAAACTGTTTACTTGTCAAAATTTCTTTTAATCTTTCTAGCTAATGATTTCTGCCTGAAATAATTACAAGGACTATCAGAAATTTTTTTTAATGTATTATCTAAAAAGTAATATACTCCTTTTACAAGTTTAAGTACCCTACCAGAACACTACAAATAGAAAATTCTACAGCCCTTGATCCAGCTATTCCACTGCTGGCTATTTATCCAAAGAACTTGAAAACACAAAGGCATAAAGATACTTGCACCCCTATGTTCATTGCGGCATTATACACAATAGCCAAGACTTGGAAGCAACCTAGGTGCCCATCAAGGGACGAATGGATAAAGAAGATGTGGTATTTATACACGATGGACTACTACTCAGCCATAAGAAATGATGAAATCCGGCCATCTGTGACAACATGGATGGATCTTGAGGGTATTATGCTGAGTGAAATAAGTCAGAGGGAGAAAGTCAAATACCATATGATCTCACTCATAAGGAGAAGATAAAAACGACAAAAAAAAAATCACATAGCATTGGAGATTGGACTGGTGGTTACCATTGGGGAACGAGAGAGGGGGGAGGGCAAAAGGGGTGATCAGGGTCACATGTGAGGGGATGCACTATAATTAGTGCTTGGGTGGTGAACATGATGTAATGTATACAGAATTTGAAATATGATGTACATCCGAAAAAAATAAAAATTATAAATAAATTTTTTACACATTAAAAAAAATTTTTTTTAATGTATTATCTAAAAAAGTAATATACTCCTTTTACAAGTTTAAGTATCCTACCAGAACACTACAAATAGAAAATTCTACAGTCCTTGATCCAGAGCACTAAATATTTGCATGGCAAATAACTTTTGATGTTCTTGCTCCAAGATATTGTTTTTGATAACCCCAAACTCCCTGTTAAAAATCCTTGGTAATTAGGGAATTTTCAAATTTCAAGAAATCTAAAACTGAGTTAAAACTTCTTACCTAGAAGAAAGTATTTTTAAGCTATCCTTTATTTATGTTTGCGTTATTTCCATTATCTTTTCTTTAGATTATATCTGCAGAGTTTATAAACCTGAGAACAAGACTCCTCCAAACCAGCGCTGAGGGATACTTTAGTGTGTTCTAAAAACATCTTCTATGTCTTGTAAATTATAAGATGTCCACAATCTTACATCCAACTTTTAATCTGGCAGGCAAAAGGGGAAAGTAACAACAGGAGAAAGAGAATGTACATCAATTTAGTAACTTTGTCTAATTTAGTTAACTTTGTTGTAAGTATGACGTCCTTAATCTTATCTCCAAAATGTGGAGAAAATGCAAAAACATCTAATCCATTGCTTTTAAACTCTACAGACTGGCCAGAAGGAAATGGACTTCTTCCATTATCTAGTATTCTTAAAGACCTATTACCTTACATTTCTGGTTTCCATCCTTCCCTTAGTCTATCTGTATGGAGAGTTCTTCTAGTTCTCTACAACACACACACTCCCCATCCAACTCCCCACATGGTCCCTGCCACACTATTCATTCATTCCATATTTACTGAGTACCCTTGGTGTGCCGGGCATTGTGATAGGTTCTAGGTATATTAAGAAGCATTAATTGAATATAGACTGCTTTGGTATTTTTTTAAAAGTCAACTTATTATATGGTGCATAGTACTGCAGTCAAAGATATCTACATTTTTAATAGATTAGTTGGCAGCAGAATTTCTTATTTGGCTGTTTCCTAATGGGCTGAATTTCTTGAGCCATTCCATATTTCATAGAAAAAAAAATTTCTTTGCTATAGCATAGCAGGGATTTGGCTAGTCTATTTTTTATATGTAAGCATATATATCCTCCCCCCAATTTATGGAAAATGCACTATTGCTAACCATGATATTCTTTTTATTGAAAAGCAATATAAAATAGCCTTAGAAATCAGAGAAGGTAATATTTTACATTATTTCTTCTGTCATAAATATTTTTATGCGCTGTGCCAGAATTTACTTCCCATAACTATTCTTGCTTTATCCAGAACATTTTATACTGGATTTCTACATTATTGAATGTAGTGTTTAATTTAGAAGAGCTTAACAAAGTGCTAATCTGAGAACAGTGGTCTTTCCCTTGCTTTCTTAGGCCTTTTTTCTGAGCGTGCTGATTTATGTACAATATGGAAATCTGATCCTGTTCTCTTCCAGTCAGCCAACAATTCTTTTTGTACTTCTTCCGGTAGTTCATAGAAAACTTCAGGATCAATGTCAGAAGGAAAAGTGACTTTCTTATCAGTACAATCTTGCTCTCTATTTTTCATAAGTCCTTCATGCTGAGAGACTGCTGCTATTGATTGCTTATGGCTATCTGTAGTTCGGTTTTTGGAGAAAAGTTGCTCACTCTGCAAATTTCGAAATGAATGAAAAATAGATGCAGTGGGGTTTGTATTCGAAAAGTGGAATCCTTGAGATTCTTTAGGTCCTTGGCCCATTCGTTCATCTTTTAATCTACTGTCTGTACAATGTGAATAATCCTTTCGGTTAGACACACAAGAGGAACTACTGCTATTTAAGCCTGAAGTTCCTGGTTCACAGGGAGATACAGAGGACAGCTGTTTGCTATTGGATAAATGATCTCTAGGATTTAAGGGACTATCTTGCATTTGTTTTGCAGAAAAGAAAGACAATATTCCTCTAGAGGCACGTAATGGACAACTCAAACTTCCTTTCCCTTGAACTTTTTCTCTAGATTTTCCAGAAAGGATTTCCTCTTGAATATCTACTGGAAGCTGCTTAAAGACTTCTTGGTCGATACCCTCAGGAAGTGAGCAGCGTAGAAATTCATTACTGTCTTTTTCTTTAGAAAAATTTGTAGTATCCAGTGGAGACTCCCCAGTTCTTGCACTTTCAATTCTTTCAGTTGGTAGAAAATCCAAATTTGTTTCTTTGTCTTTAGAAAAATCCTCCATATGAGTGTCTTTCATTTTCTAGAACACAAGGATAACAATAATTTAGATATCTGATATCTTTTAAATATTCATGCTGCTAAAGTGTGACTGTAGCTGTCACTTGACCAACATATTTCTATCCTACTCCATAACTTCAATCCTTTTGGCCAGTTCCAAACAACTAAAGATGATTAATCTACCACAATTAGTCACACTATTGTGCGGATCTTTATGCTCACTATTCCAGGAAGAGGTTTCCTTCCTAGACAGCACTGAGCCAGAAGGTAGGTATGTATTTGGAGACCGGAAAGGATCTTAACAATCATGTACTAAAACTTCCAATTCTGTGAATAAAAGAATGGTGGCCTAGAAAAGTAAACGACTCACCTAAGGCTATCTAAAAAGTATATACATGCACAAAGCATCAAGGGCTGGCTTTCTAAAAATCCCTATTCTGAAGTATAACATTTAACAGAAAGAAAAAAATACTTCTCTGGTAAAAATCCAACATCATTATTAAGATATAACACTCATATTTACATACAATAAAAATTTAAAAACAACTTCAATTCTAATTTGCATTATTTTTCTATGTAAAGCTTCTCACTTAAACTTTCCCTCTAGTTTTAATCACCATAAAAATATATACACAGTCAAATATAATTCAGGAAACGAACACAAAAGTAAGTTCAAAAAAGTGAAAGGAGAAGAGACTTGGGCCACTGTATTTATTGGGCACCTACTATGTGCCAGACATGTACAATGTTTACCTCTCTAATACCACTGTGAATTAAAGACCTTCAATTTTTATTCTACAGATTGATTAAACAGTAAAACACCTTTTAAAATTTCAGTTAATAAATGGGATTAAAAAAGTAACAGAAAAAAAGTAAATCAAGAGGGCACTAATTCATTATTTCCATAATACCATTCTGTTCTCATTTTAAACTTAAATGTAAATGAAAATATTACTAAAATTATACTGACTGACTCAACAATAAATAAAATAAAAACAGTTTAAATTAAGAGTTAATTGTAGGCACAGACAATTTAGTAAAAGATGATTATTTTTTAAAGCATCCCCCATTTAGTAAATAGGAGTCTGCCAAATGGCTGTATACATACGGTTTTGTTTTAGTCATCTGAAAATATGACTGGTCTCTGCCTCTCTATGCCACACTATAATTTCTACAATTGTAAAATGAGTACAGTCACACATCACTTAATGATGGGGATATGTTCTAAGAAACTCTTCGTTAGGCAATTTCATTATTGTGTGAACATGATAGAGCATACATACACAACCATAGACGGTATAGCCTACTACACACCCAGGCTGTATCATACTAATCTCATGGAACCGCTGTCATATATGTGGCACACTGCTGACTAAAATGTCGTTATGCGGCATATACCTGCAGTTATATTCTACCAATACTGCCATCAGAATTCAATATAATTTTAAAACCAAGAAAATTTAAATACTTTAACAAAAAGATGGGTGGGATGCTGGTAGCTTATGCATAAGTTAACAGATAAAAAGATTTGATTTCCAGTATCTGGAAATATTTTCACATTGATGAGCTAGTCATCACATTCCTATATCCTATCATAAAATGTTTTAACCTACTTCCAAAACAGGGGGCCTCCATAATGGTTTTCTCTTTTATCCAGTGATGCTTATATTTTCTTCTTAGAACACAGTACAATGTACTTAAGGCTAGCAACTGTAATACGACAGGTACTATATATAAGTCATTCAAACAATACTACCCAAAAGAATCTCTGAATTATGTCAAACACAAACTTAGATTTGTAATTTGACCACACAAATCCAATAACAGTGTACTTACAAAATCGCGCTTGCCAGAGTGTGAAGTTGTTGATAATGATTGTGTTAAGTAATAATCAATAGTCCCTTTCTTAGTAGTATTTAGTGCTTTAAGGTTGCAGAAGCACACACTTAAAAGGGTAAGATGAAATGGCATCTTCACATTCACCATATTTCGAAAAAGTTTCATAAGTATCTCAACCATTGGGGTCATCACATCATAATTTCCTAAATAAAATGTTTAAGAAGACAGTATCCAAACATATTATATCATAATTGATATTAAAAGCTTAATCTAATTTATATTGCTTAAATTAAGAAATTAAAATCCTAAATGGATATCATTGGGACATCTTGACATTATATACTAAACTGAGACATCTCAACATTTATACTAAACTCCAAATGAGTTAAAAGTTTTCAAAAGATTTGAAACTATGGGACGCTTCTGGTTATGCGAGGGTGACGAGGACAGAAAATCTTCTCCCCATAAAACTCTAATAAAACTGAAATTGTCAAAAGCAACCATTTTGAGGATCTCGAAATGAATCAAAGGCACATAAAGTGAAAAGCATGAATTATGAAAAGCTGCTAGAACTTAAGAAAGAAAGTGGGAGACTGCAGCCTTACTGGTGGGAGCTGTTTGCCTCTCCCCTTACAAAGCTCAGTTGGTACAGTAGTTCTACCAGTGTGAGGCTGGCTGTGAAAGCCAGCAGCCTTGCTGCCAGAAAGGACAGACCTGACCAGTAGTGTTGCCAGTAAAATGAACACACTTGGTAGGAAACAAACAGGAAAATCCCACAGCACTCTAGCTTGGGGTTGCAGCTGTGGTGGGGTGAGTGAAAGATCAGTGGACCAGCCATAACTTTAACCAGGAGATCTGGAAACGAAAGAACCATAAAGGGGCTAGATAAGCTCTCCTCTCAACCCTCAGCTGACTGGGAAGCTGCATGCACATGGAGGGGAGGCCAGAGAGGTCCCAAGCTCTCCATACATCCTTGACTGGAATAGCAAAAGCACAGCCAGGGAGATGCAAAACGGCCTAGCAGAAAATAAAAGCCAAGGTGGACTTGAAAACGGCCTAAATTTTGAATGCACTCCCCAACTCATGCACCTATCTGTTGACAGAAGGTGGAAGCCTTCCAGGCTCTAGCATTTGAACAAAACCTTTGACCAATCACTGGCTAACCACTAAACTATACAGACAGGGGTAACCTGCTAGGAAGCCAAAATAAAACATCTAAATTAAAAAAAGAAAGCTGAGCAGAGAAATCTGGGGCAACATATCACAGAGGAGGTAGATTCTGCAGTTTAAATCCAGGTAAGTTACCACAAAAGGCGGCGGGGGGGAGCTCACAAGAAAAAAATGGAAATCCAGAGTTGCTACAATACATTATCTAAAATGTCCAGTTTTCAACAAAGTATTACAATACATGCAAAAAACCCTGAAGGGCATGATTTGTATTTAGGGGGAAAAAGCAGCCCATAGAAACTGACTCTGAGTTGGATTTGGCAAAGACTTCAAAGTTGCAGGCCAGCTCGGTGGCGCAGCAGTTAAGTTCACACGTTCCACTTTGGCGGCCTGGGGTTCGGCGGTTTGGATCCCGGGTGCGGACATGGCACCGCTTGGCAAGCCATGCTGTGGTAGGCGTGCCACATATAAAGTAGAGGAAGATGGGCACGGATGTTAGCTCAGGGCCAGTCTTCCTCAGCAAAAAGAGGAGGAGTGGCAGCAGATGTTAGCTCAGGGCTAATCTTCCACAAAAAAAAAAAACCAAGAACACCAAAAAAACCCAAAGTTGCTATTATAGACATGTTCAAAGAATTTTTTAAAATATTTTAAAGAATTAAAGTAAAATATAATAATGACTATCAAAAAAAGAGGAATCTCAGTAAAGAAATAGAATCAAACATAAAAACAAAAATATAAATGGAAATTATAGAGTTAAAAAGTACAGTAATCAAACCAAACAAAATCACTAGATGAGCAATAGCAGTTTTGAGATGACAGATGAATCAGAGAACTTGAAGACAGCTCAACAGAAATTATCCAGTCTAAAAAGCAAAGAAGAGAAAAAAGACTGAAGAAAAATAAACAGAACTGCACACACCTGTAGGACATTATGAAGCATACCAACATATATGCAGTGAGAGTCCCAGAAGGAGAGGAGAGAAAAAAAAGAAAAAAATATCTGAAAAAATAAGAGCCAAAAACTCCCAAAATTTCACTAAAAAAAAAAAACTACTCTACAGAATCAAGAAGCCTAATAAATCCTAACAAGGATAAACACAAAGCAATTGCACACTTAGACATACATCATAGTCAAACTGCTGAAAAACGCAAAGAAACCAATGACTCATCACATAAAGGGGAACAACAATACAAGTATGTCTACTAATTTATTTCCTCTCAGCTCCAAATTCACTCTTCACTACCTGCTCTATGATAACTGGCTGGACCCTCTACAATTTTTTTACACTGAGCACAATGTTAAGCTTTGTCAGTAGAGAGCAGCGGAGGACCACAAAGAGAGACAGGGAGTGTCTCTTCCTAGTTCCAACATACTGTCATTTACTTTCTTTTGCTCCTGTTACATGGTCTGTTTGTGGTACATGTGTGTGTGGACATCTATGTAGTGCTCTGCCACACCACACAGGTGTGGAGCATTCAGTCCCTCAGCAACCTGCACCCCCAGCCCAAGCCTAGTGACCATGTTACCACGGCACTACCAACTCAAACACTGCACACACCAGGCTGGTCCCGTAAACAGTGCCCTGACTCTTGCACACTCACCAAACAGCTTTGACTTGCCTACACCCCAAAGGGTTGTTTCCTCCCGTTCTTCCTATACAGGCACCATACCCTCCACCTTTGTGCTAGCAGAAGAATGCAGATTCCTTCAGCACAACCACCCACTAGCCTTGGCTTGCCTGCATCCTCAAGGTTTGTTAACGTAAGCCCTCCCAACGTGGACACTGCATACCCCAGCTCATGCACTGCCCTGACAATGAGCAAGCTCCCAACATCCTAACTCCTCCTGTGTGCCCACCAGTCAGCCTCAGCTCATTTACAGATCAGAGGGTGGTTTTCTCTTTGTCCAATAACTACGGACAAGCCTCGGGCGAGGTAACTCAAAGAATTTCTCCACCATCCAGTGTTAAGTACCATATCTTCTCCTTTAGGGGTAGGGGGACTACCCTTTCTAAGTTTGTCCTTCCTTGGGTACTTTTCCTCAGCCCTTGGGTACCTCTTAGAGTTCTCTTTATACCTTTATAGTCACTCCCCTATCATAGTTTAATAATTCTGTGAAACTTTCTCTGTTCAAATTTCTATGTGGTTATTCTCTCCTGATTGGAAGGAGACTGATAAAACTATTAACAGCTGACTCATCAGAAATAATAGAAACCAGAAGGTAATGGAATGGTATATTCAAAGAATGGAAAGAAAAACAGTCAAGAATTATACATACTGACAAACTGCCATTCAAAGATGCTATTTTGGTGGAGTATTCCATAAATTTTAGTTAAGTAGAATTGTTTGATAATATTGCTCAACTCTTCTTTTCAAACACAAAGGGAACATTCTTCAGGAAAGACCATATGCTAGGCAGTAAACGTAGGTTCAATACATTTAAAAGGACTGAAATTACTCCAAGTATGTTCTTTGATCAACATGAAATTAAATTATAAATCAGTAAGAGAAAGAAATTTGGGAAATCATCAAATATTTGGAAATTAAACAACAAATTTCTAAATAAAGGTCAAAGATGAAATCACGAGGGATATTAGAAACTATTTTGACCTTAATGAAAAAGAAACACAACAAAATTTATGGAATACAGCTAAAACACTGCTTAAAAGGAAATGTATAACTTTAAACTTGAATTATTAGAAAAAAGGTGAGTATAAAATAAATAATGTAAGCTACCACCTTAAGAAACCAGGAGGGAATAGACAAATTAAACCTAAAGCAAACAAAAGGAAGGAAATATCAAAAATCAGAGCAGAAATAAATGAAACAGAAAGTAGAAAAACATCAGAGAAATCAATGACACCAAAAGTTGGATCTTAGAAAAGATCAACAAAACTGATAAGCCTTTGTTAGAATAACAAAGAAAAAAAGACAATACACGAATTACCAAAATCAGGAATGAAAGAGGGAACATCACTATAGACCCTAAAAAAATCAGAAGGATTAATAAGGAAACATTAACAACTTCATGCCAACAAATTAAACAACCTGGATGAGATGCAATTTCCTAGAAGATACAAATTACCCAAACTGACTCAAAATAAATAGAAAATCTGAATAACTTACAACAAATAAATCAAATGCCTATTTTAAAATCTTCTCACAAACAAAAGCCCAGGACCACGAACGGCCAAAGCAATTTCAGAAAAGAACAAAGCTGGAGAACTTCTACTACCTAATTGCAAAACTTACAACAAAGTATCAAGACAGGGTGGAACTGGTATAAGGACAAACGTATAGATGAATGCAATAAGAAAGTCAAGAAACAAACCCTTATCTTTATGGTCAGTTTTTGACAAATGTGCCATGACGATTCAACAGGGCAAAAATAGTCTTCTCAAGAAATTCTGCTGGAACAATTGGATACTCACGTGCAAAAGAATGAACTAAGACTCTTACCTTACACCACACATAAAAATTAACTCAAAGTGGATCTAACTGTAAACCTTAAAACTATAATACTTCTAAAAGAAAATATAGGAGGAAATATCTGCGATCTTTGGGCTAGGCAAAGAATTTTTAGATATGACACCAAAACCACTATCCATAAAAGAAAAGAACACACAATGAAATACTGCTACACAGCCACAAGAATGACTATAATAAAAGAAACTGACAATAGTAAAAGTCAGTGAGGATCTGAGAAAACTGGAACCTTCAACTAGAACCCTCATACATGAGGTGAAAATCTAAATTGCTACACCCACTTTAGAAAAAAGTCTGGCAGTTTCCTAGAGTTCAACTTACCAGACAACCCAGCAATTCCACTCCTCATAATCTACCCAAGATAAAAGAAAGCATGCATCCGCCCAATGACTTGCATATAAATGTTCATAGCACCATTTTTCATAATTGCCAAAAAATGGAAACAATCTAAATGCCCATAAGGAAGTTATCTCATGCTGTATAATTACTTTTCACAGTTTTGTTTTCTCTGAACTTGGGAAACATTCTTAACTGAGTCTTTACTTTTATTACTTACTAAAAAACAACAACAAAGTTTTCTAGTGAAAATTCCTAATAGAATAAAGGTATTTAATAGCTCTTTAACTCCCTGTGAAGAGCCTCCAACTTTGGATCATATTTTTAATTCAAAACTTGTCTTTTTAAGAGTTATATAGCTGCCAATTAAATTTTTAGAAAATTAGCCCATACCTGTCCCTAACTTCTGAATTACATGGGATGGAATAGGGCACTGACGACTCTCGCGGCTATAGTAACTTTCAGATGAATTTCGACGGATTGTTAACCTTATTGTATGTGGCTTCCTTCCATCTTGGCATACTCTAAAAATAAAGAGAAAGCAAAAACAACGAATTAGAAAAAGTATTGCCTAATTATTGTTTTAAATGGTCTTACACTTCATTTATCTAAAGGTGCCAGATTTAGCAACTGTAACAATTATAAATACAGTTGATAACCAGGCAGTAAGCAATAAAGGTCCCTTAATAGCCCAAATAAATTTCACAAAGTCTATGCAGTAAACCTCTGAAATTTTTAATGTAAGATTCTCAGGCTTCACTCAGAATTGAGTGTTATGAGAAAAAGAACAGAAATAAGATATAATTATAACAAGCCATTTTATAATCCAAGTCTAAAACATAACTAAAAGCAACATATTAAAATCAGCAGGAAATTTAAGAAACAGAGAATCATTCACTGCCAGATGCAAACATATGAAAAATGACAGAAGATTTTTTCCTATATGTTTTTTTTAAAAATTACAAAAAGAAAAAATGTTTTAAAAATGAGATTACTGGGGCCGGGCCCATGGCAGGTGGGTGGTTGAGTTCGCACAGCCCGCTTCAGCGGCCCAGGGTTTCACCGGTTCGGATCCTGGGCACAGATATGGCATGGCTCATCAGGCTATGTTGAGGTGGTATCCCTCATGCCACAACTAGAAGGACCCACAACTGAAAATATACAACTATGTACTGGAGGTATTTGGGGAGAAAAAGCAGGGGAAAAAAAAGAGGATTGGCAACAGTTGTTAGCTCAGGTGGTAGTCTTTTAAAAAAAAAAAATGAGATTACTTTGGTCAAAGAGCATTCTCCAAATAGATCCAAGGAAGCCAATATTATTACCATCACATGACATATTAGAGCAATAAATTCAAAGATCAATTATATAATATATTTAGGAAGGCAAGTACCCGTACATGCATCTCAAAAAGTGCTTCATCAAAATAGTCTTGGTTGTGGTACTGAAAACAAAAGTTTTAATGATATAGAAAATTCACTTAAAAATCTAATTATTTGAGAAAATAAATGTCATTAAAGAACATTTTCTTTTTTATATGTATGGCAATGCATTAAAAAAATCACAAACAGGCTGGCCTGGTGGCCCAACGGTTAAGTTTGCGCAGTGGTTAAATTCACGTGCTCCACTTTGGCAGCCCAGGGTTTGCCAATTCAGATCCCAGGTGCAGACCTACATACCGCTTCTAAAGCCATGCTGTGGCAGGTGTCCCTCATATAAAATAGAGGAAGATGGGCACAGATGTTAGCTCAGGGCTAATCTTCCTCAAAAAAAAATCACCAACACAAAATACAAATATTGCACAGTTAAACATACTCAAATTTAAGATTCTGAATTGGAAAATTTAGATTTTTATAGTAAATAATTTTTTTCTTTTATCATCACAAAATTTCTTGATTGCTGCTTTCATAAGACAATAAAATATCTTAAATGGTTCCTGTAAACATGTTACTAGTTTAAATACCTTCCAGTTAAACTTGTTCCATCAAGCCATTATGCAATTCAAAGAGTGTGATTTGGTTCCTATAACTACCAGAAAAAGGTTTTATTTAAAGCAATCTTAAACTAATGCCTAGAGGATGGATTAAACATTACATGATTTTATACTCCTTACATACTTATAGTATTAATCATCATTTACTCCAGAAGGAAAACACATTCACACATACACAATTATTTTTTTGCCACTCAGATGGTATTATATCTCAGTCACTGAAATAAGAAGCCATGGTGCAGGGTGGGAAGGGTAAGCAAAAATAAGGATAAATGGCTAATAGTTGGTATTTCACAGGTTGACAGCACCCAGTCTCATTTCTGGTTGATTCTTCAAATAAGAGAACCTATGAAACTTATATGTGTGGTTTCTCAATGTGCAGAACTGTTTCCAGTGGCCAGGCACTTCACAGGAGTCTTATATTTAGCTGAAGCAAAGCAGATGACCCAGTTTCACTAGCATACTCACAGGCTCAGACTGAGTCATATCACCGGAGCTGGGTCACATAGCCAACCCAGCTGCATGCAGCAAACCATGAGCTGCATGTCTCCGCTCAAGACATGCGAACCACTGCATATGAGAGCAGAGCTGTATGAAGTTTCACTTTATCAGTTTTCTGAGACTTAGAGTCATCCAAAAACCATTTTCTCTAGTCACTGTTAGCCATCCTAGCATCATTACAAAAGCACACCTACCCAAAACTGTTAGAACCCTGAGACCCCATTTTGAGAAGCCAAAGAAATGGAAGGAAAAGAGACAATACCCATCTATAGAGAATTGAGAAATAGATATCTGATGTCAAAGGAACATCAGCAAACTAAACGTCTTATTCAGTTTATGCTACGCTATTTGTATACTCATAATCCCGGCTGACACTCCTCATGTACCTATAGACTAGTAACCCTGCACACACTCACAATCACTCTCACTGCTCGTACATAGGCCCAGTTAACTACTACTTCATCTGACTCCATTTTCTTTCACATAGGCTGAGACAAAGAAGACATAAGCGTTCTTTTGCTTTCTCCATCACTGTTGCTCTTAATTATTTCCTATCCTCAACCATCACCAATTTATAGGTATAAAGATTACAGAGATATCCATAAAACTCCCTAGGTAACTATCAGCAGCTAAGATCCACGGTATAACCACAATTTTATTAAAATTAAGAACAATGGAAGTAGATGGATTAACTACTACAAAGAGCATCTGTTATTATCTTTGTAATAGTTTATAATGTAGAGAAATTCAGTGACAAATGATCTATCTTACATCGTTTAGTCTCCAGTTAATCTGTAAGTTCCAAGATAGAACATCAAGTATTCTTTCTATATACCATATACAAAATATATAGGATGATATGGCAAAATGGAAAATCACCTGTTCAAAAGACTAGCAAGTAGTTCTTCAATCTTATTTTTAACTTCAACTTCTGATGAACATTTTTTAAATGAATCTTCTTCACTAAAGGACTACCAAAGAAGCACAAATAAGGATTATTGTAAACTCAAACAAGCACATCCAATGATCAGTGCACATTTCAAATATTTAACACATTGTTTACTAACTTACCTCTTGTGCTTAGTTTGAGCCATTTAGTTCACTTCTATATTAACTGTTTTTATCTGCAAGGTACTGTACTCTACTAGAAAGTGCACTGGAAGTCAAGAAAATTATAAAGCTCTAGCATCACCTCCAAGTATGCTTATTGTATGCTTATGGCAAGGCTCAATCTCCTAGGACTTGAATCAGTTTAACCTTACACAATTATTTAACCTTTCTAAAGTACAGTATCCTCATCTTAAAAAAAGAATGGGAGAGGGAGAAAAGGAGGGAAAAAGGTACGAACAAACAATAGTACTACCTACACCTCGAAGGTTTGTTGTGACAACTAAATGGGCTAATGTATATAAAGCACTTAGTAAAGTGCCTGTCACACAGGAAAAATATCAATGTTAGCTGGCTGACTCTATCTTTCTCCATTGCCTGAGTCGTAAGACTACTCTGAAAACAAGACTTTCTAAAAATTAAAATATTTTGCTTCATATATGCAATATAGGCTACCAAAATTAAGTAGTATGTAATCAAAGTGGCTAACTTGAAACAAATAGATTCAATTTAGGAATACCAATCTAACATAATAAATTAGCCTTCTCATAGGAAACGGATCGTACTAACTTAATAAGCAAACTAGAACAGTAAGAACATAGTACTAAAACTAGAACTCTTTATTTCACATGCGACAACCAGTACTCAATAAAAATATCACTATTATGTACCTGAGGTGGTCCTGAAGACATCACAGGAGAGTTATCCTCTCCAAAACTGAGCTTCTGGATACGCTGAGCAACTGAAATTCCTAATTCCTTTTCTAATATTTTGGATGAGCAGGTCTGAAGATCACGCACACTACTGATACCCAGTGCTTCAAGACGTTTGGCAGTTTTATAGCCGATACCTAAACAAAAAGAAATGCACAGCGTGTTACCATAGTGCTATCTCCTAAAATAAGACTAATTAAAATATTATAAATATATCAACCAAATCTTTAAATTCCATAATTAATATTTTGCTATGATCAAACTTTATTGAAAATCAGGTAGTAGTTGTTCTGCTCACAGTCTCTGAGCTGCAGTCACGAGTTGCTTAACAACGGAGATATGTTCTGAAAAATGTGTCATTAGGCGATTTTGTCACTGTGTGGACATCACAGAGTGTACTTCCACAAACCTAGATGGCATGGCCCACTACACACCTAGGCAATATGGTATGGCCTATTGCTCCTAGGCTGTACAGCATGTTACTATACTAAATACTCCAGGCAACTGTAACACAATGATAAGTATTTTTGTAACTAAACATAACTAAACACAGAAAAGGTACAGTAAAAATAGAGTATAAAAGATAAAAAATGGTACACTTGTATAGGTCACTTACCATGAATGGAGGGGGCAGGACTGGAAGATGCTCTGGGTGGTCAGTAAGCGGTGAGTGAATGTGAAGGCCTAGGACATTCCTGTACACTACCGTACACTTTATAAACACTGTACAACTAAGCTACACTAAATTTATTAAAAAATATTTTTTCCTTCAATAATAAATTATCCTTAGCTTACTGTAACTTTCTTACTTTATAAACTTTTTAATTTTTACTTTTTGACTCTTTTGTAATAACACTTATCTTAAAACACAAACATTGTATAGCTGTACAAAAATATTTTCTTACTTTATATACCGTAAGCTTTTTTCTATTTTTAAAATTTATTTATTTGTTTTACTTTTAAAACCTTTTTGTTAAAAACTAAGACACACACACATTTCTCTTGGTCTACACAGGGTCAGGATCATCAGTATCACTGTCTTCCACCTGCACATCTTGTCCCACTGGAAGGTCTTCAGGGACAATAACACGCATGGAGCTGTCATCTCCTACAACAATGCCTTCTTCTGGAATACCTCCTGAAGGATCTGCCTGAGGTGGGTCTTGAGGAGGTGTCACTTTTTTAAGAAATATGTTCATGGTGGTTTGCTTGGTTTGTTTCTTTTTTTATCATAGATTTGCTCATAAGCAGACAACATACCGTGAATATTCCTCTTTATTAATAAAATCTTTCAGTGTTGGCAATCCATGTTTTCAAATTTTTTTTTTTGAGGAAGATTAGCCCTGAGCTAACATCTGCCACCAATCCTCCTCTTTTTTTGCTGAGGAAGACTGGCCCTGAGCTAACATCCATGCCAATCTTCCTCTACTTTTTACGTGGGACACCTGCCACAGCATGGCTTGATAAGCGGTGGGTAGGTCTGCATCTGGAATCCGAACCGGCGAATCCCAGGCCGCCAAAGCAGAACGTGCAAACTTAACCACTGTGTAACCGGGGCAGCCCCCTCCATGTTTCCAAACTTTTTAAGGAGCTTGCTGAGGTCTGCAAAAGCTTCTATTAAACCTTCACTGAATCTTCTTGGGGCAAACAACTTCTCCTGCAGTTTCCTTTTCTCTTGCCTCTTCTTCATTTATGCATTCCTGTTACAGTTCCAACAAGTAATTAGTAAATTCCTCAGGAACCACCTCTAGGAACTCAATGTAATCCTCATGCACACTCAGGTTAAAGTTGTTTTGCCATCTCAATGATAGCCTTGTTGATTTTTGCAACCTCCTCATCCTTAGCAAATCCTGAATCGCAGATGAATCTCTTGAGTATCTTCTTCCAGACGCCATTCATACACTGCTTAATGACATCACCCCATGCCCAAGCATGGTTCTTGATGCAGTCAGAGACATTATAATCCTTCCAGAATTGTACCAGTATCTTCTCAGTGTCTTCTGCTTCTCAGTTGCAGTTGTAGCCACAGCCTGGGCAAAGGTCCTCCTCAGGTAGTAAGCCCTTACAAGCTGCTGCAACTCCTCGTTCCAGTGGTTGGATCAAAGAGGTGGTGTTTGGAGGGAGAAAAACCACTTTAATATTGGGATGAAGATCACCAATAAGAGGAGGACGTATGGGAGCGTTATCAACAATAAGTAAAATCTTGAAAGGTATGTTACTTTCCAAACAGTACTTCTCTATTTTGCTGGCATAGCAATTCAGGAAGGCATCTTGGAAGAGGAGCCAAGTCATTCATGACTTCTTATCACTTCTGTAGTACACTGGCAGTGTGTTCCTACTGATATACTTGAAGGCCCTGGGGTTCTTACTATGCCAGATCACAAAGGGTTTCAATTTGTAGCCTATAACATTGTCTCCAAAGCAAGACTGTTATACTGTCCTTAAAAGCCTTGGAACCTGGCCTTTACTTAGCTTCTTTATGAATGAAAGTCCTTTGAGGCATCTGTTTCCAGAACAGGGAGGTCTCGTCCATATTGAATATTTGCTCTAGCAAGCAATTATCCTCCACAATCAGTTCATGTAGTTTCCAAAAATTCTGCAGCTGCCTTCACAGCAGCACTTGCAGACTCACCATTCACTTTCACATTATGTAACGAACAATGATTCTTTACTCGTTTAAATCACCCACAGCCAGCAGTAAAGTCAACATCATAGTTGAGTCCAACTTTTTCTTTCCAACATTGCAAACAAACTTTTTTCTTTGGCCATGATCGTGATGGTGCTGAAAGGGATATGCTTCTGCTTTGTCTTCAATCGAAGTCATTATAAGTCTCTCCATGTCTGATATAGGCCCTTCTCAAATTTTTTTTAGTCTCATTGCCTTCAATGAAGCGGATCCTTTAACAGCTTCCATCACTATTTCTTGTTCTTCAAGATTGTAGCTGTGGCAGAATGGGATGTGCCTGACTAGCGAGCAATAACAACCACCATTGGTTTTCCACCTTAGTAGTCCTTAATAACTTCTAATTTCATTTCTAAGTCAAGTACTCGACACAGATTCTTACTGGGAACATTAGCAGTGGATTTTGTATGCTTCGGGGCCATGATGAATAAAACAACACAAGATTAAGTTAAGTACAAGAGAAAAGGATGCAATCAAAAGATGAGGTAAATGCAAGATGTACAAGGCTGCTGCTAGCCTAACACAGCATACTGTTTTACAGTAAACTTTCCTTTTTTATAAGTAGAAAGAGTACACTCTAAAATAACTACAAAAAAGATAGTATAGTAAATACATAAACCAGTAACATAGTCACTCATTATCAGTATCAAGTACTATGTACTGTATATAATTGTATGTGCTATACTTTTATATGATTGGCAGTGCAGTGGGTTTGTTTACACCAGCATCACTACAGACATGTGAGTATAGCGTTGCACTATGACTTTACAACACCTACTTCACTAGGCCATAGGAATTTTTCAACTCGATCATAATCTTATGGGACCACTATCGTATTTGCAGTCCATCACTGACCAAAACATCATTATGCAGTACATGGCTATATATGAACCACTTTGAAAACCTAACAACCTTAGTATAATATAATGAATACAGAGACAACCAATAAATGCTGTCTTGATAAAATGAAATTTTTACCACCTGTTACGTAACACTATGGAAGTGTCCAAGAATCACAGTTATTATTCATGTAAAGAAAGACTGTCAGTAAAGCAATTAAAATTCATTAGCATGTGCTTATTAGCCAACCTAAACAATTCCTATATACAACACCCACATTTATCCACAAGTCATATCTGGCAATATTTACCATCCAAAATACAACTAAAAACCAGAAAGCAAACAAACAAAACAATCTTCTCATTAGCAAAACTCCTATGACAAAGTTCTTGCACTAAACTCAGTCATACTTTATCACAGAGAAATGCTCACTTTAGTGCCCCTTTACTCTTCTCATTTTTTATAAGTTAATTCTACACTTATCTGGTTTCCTTGTACAGTAAAAGAAGTAAATCAAAGGCATTGAGTATGTAGGGCGAATTATTAAAGTGAAGTGACAGATATTTTCACAGCTGAAAAATAAGAGAGCTGGCAATTTGGCAATAAGCAAGAAAAGAGAAAGCCTGTAAGAAAAACAAATACAAGAACTCAAAAAAGTAAAGCTGAGTAATAAGTTATGTATCAGCATACAGTTCTTAATTTATTACAGCCTGGCATAGTAACTGTTCTTCAAAACGCAGACTCTGAATCACCCACAAAACCTCAAGTTACAATTCTGCTATATTAAGGAAGGCAAGGCAGTGTATGACACATTTTGGAATCACACAAACATAAGTTAAAAAGGTGAAGTTATGACATCAAAAGGTTAAGTGTCAGTTGTCTTAGAAATTCACTTCCACCGAATTCTACTATAACATCTTATTCCCCAACAATGCTATAGAAATGAAGTTTAACATATCCATTATTGATGGTCTATAAAAACACATTTGATCTACAAAGATACAAATTCACTCCACGACATGAATAGACCACTGCACCCCTCAAGAAAATCAAGTTTCTCATCTTTAAAATAAAAACTTGGCCTAGATGCTTTGGAAAGTCCCTTGTAGCCCTAATATTTTATATATAATCCCAAAATAGAGTTAGTAAAAGATGAACTCCCCTCTCTAGATGCAATGTACAGTATAAGAGTATGAACCAGGAACTGGAAATAAAGGACCATATGTTTCCAGGTTATAACTTTCATGATCATATTCAAACTATACAAAAGTAGGTGAAACCAGAAAAGTACTTTCATATATTTCCTAATACAGATTCCCTCTAGAAAACATTAGGTTTTCTGGTTTCCTCCCAAGAGCCAAATACACAGGCTCTAAGAATTAATTACATGTATCTATAATTTTTAAAATTAAAGCAATACAATAAAACCAACATATACTTTTTAAATATATTTGTCTTACCAGGTATTTCCTTTATGTGGTTCAAACTATGAATGAGATCTTGAGAACTTTCAGGTAATAAGACTGTTTGTTGATTTGGTTTAAAGACACCAGAAACTAATTTTGCCAATAATTTATTAGAAGCCACTCCAGCACAGCCAGTGAGACCCAGGCGATTATATACGGCTTCCCTCATCTCTGCTGCAATCTGAGATCCAACAAGTAGTCTGATGTGCAAGACGTCATGCAGGTTTACAACTACAAAAACAGTCACGGTTGTTAAAAGTCACCACGAAAATTTTTAATTTTCTTCTTTACAAATGAGTTTAAAAAGGACACAGGGCTGATCCACTGCCCACCCCCCTCCCCTGCCAACACCACCATAATGCCACCCATTTAACTAATCTCTTTTGTTCTTCATAGGAATTCTGAAAAGTAAACAACTACCACAAGTGAATTCTAAGGGCCTGTGCCAGTGAATGCATAGTGGGAGTGCTTAATGATTAACAATCATGAAAACTGATCTCATAAAAAATTCTTACTGACATTAGTAAAACTTTTACTCATGTTTACCTATAAGTAAGCACAAAAATAAAACTATTACATTAATAAGAAAACTAACATTACAGCTTTAAAGGCCTGAATCTAAACTTTATGCGCTAGCTATATGTGCTACTGAAAACAATTTTGGATCTGTACATAGTTTAAGAGATCTTTTATAAAAAGTGTATGTAAATTATACAGAAACAAATTTTCTTAGGTATGAAAATGGTACTAGAGTTATATGAGACAGTCCTTATCCTCAGGAGTATTTACTGATGAAGTGTCATGATGTCTGTAATTTACTTTCAAATGTCTCACTGGTCAATCAATAGAGAGCAAGATAAAGCAAATGTGGCAAAATGATAACAACGGGTGTATCTACAAGGAAGGACATAATAAGTGTTCTCATTGTACTATTCTGTCAACTTTTCTGTAGGTTTGAAAAAATTTTTTAACAAAATCTTGTGGGGAGGAGAAAGAATTCATGAAGAATTAGACATTTTCTTTTTAGGATATAAAACCTAGCTCTCTGTAAAATGTTCTAACCATAAAGTCTAAGTTTGCTTGAAAAATTATATAGAAATACATTTGGAACCTTCTTGCTACTCAGCCCTTGTAAGTGACAAAAAAGCACAGATACAAAAGACACATGAAAAGAATCACGTCTTCTTCTAGAAGAGAACTGTAGCTCTACATCTTTTCTTCTTTAACATCAAGGAGGTAGAGAACTAGACTGGAGATTGATCACCAGCTCTCCAAAAGTGGGGATAAGAGGAAGCACATGCTGACACCTAGGAACAAGAGGGTCAGGGCAAGCCTTACACAACAGCAGAGTAGCTTGTCTTCTAAGTGGTAAGATGTGGAAGTCACCAGTAGAGTCACAAGAGGTTTGAAAGTGTAATTGGATATTCACTGGAGCTGACTGCAGCTTATTTTCAAATACAAATATCCCTGGAAAGACCATCAGTCATTTATACTTTACTATGTGAAGGAGATGAACCATTTTGCTTTCTTGCTAAGAGTTAGCAACGATTATTTGACCTAATTAAATAGGAGCTTGCAAAAGATGGTAGGTAGGCCTGGATAAGCTTCGACAAGGGGGAACTCCAGAAGTCAGAGGGCAACATGAGGGTCTTGGTGCCTTGGGGGGATAGAAAGGAACAAGCAAAAGAGGTAACAAAAGCAAATTTAGACTACCTCAAAGTTTTGCTTAAAGATAGTTTTAGGAGAATCAAAAATTATTCTAAAAAGCATATTATCAAGCCAACTCCTATAATTTAAGGATAACCTAAAGAGGTACAGCTCTTAAAAACAGTAACACAAAGACTGTGTCAGAGAATTGAAAACTGCATGGTGCATTAAACTACATGTCATCAAAATCTCATTTTCTGCCTGATTAATATGGAATAGCAAGCAATACCTAATTTTAGTCATCTTAGACAGATTACTGAAGTATGGCTATCCCTCCAACAAAAGCCATAAGACTTTCAGAAAGACACAGTCAACTCACCGAACTCACTGAACATCAAGAAATGTATGTACTTTTAGGTATTAAATAGAATGAATAAGAACCTACTTACACTGATTATTGTATACATGACCTGACACAGTCAGTGCTAAAAGTTCATCATTTTGAAGCTGCTGTAGTCTCTTCTCAACCATTTCTGTTAGGTCCACAAAATTTTCATCAAATCCGAGTCTCTCAACAACTGGACTAAATTCTTCCAACAACTCTAAGTTGAAATAATATTGGAGGACAGATGTAAATAAAATTATAACTATAACAAATTTAACTCTTTTATGCTTAAAAAATACATCAAATATTTGTTAAAGGCTTTACATATATTCACAGTTCCACAATATCTTTAACAAAGTCTTCAGTTAACTGAGATTTTTTTTCCTGCACATTTTGAATAAAAGCAATATTTTCCAACAAAATAAGTCTAAAAATGACATTCCCTGGGCAGATACTCATAGCAATATACTTGGTCCAATATCCTATACCTACAATTTCTATAGCTGTAGTATATGAAATACTATATTAAATATAGTTAATTATGATCTTGAACCAGTGCATCAAAGAATAAATTATAGTCTGCCTAGAAAACTAAAAACAAGTAATAACATAGTCTAGCTATACTTTCCACAAGAGTTTTAAAAAGACAAAATAAAACAAAATTTAAAATTTCCAATTATTATTGAGACAAAAAGAAAAGTCACTTAATTTCCAAAATACACTACGATGCAATATTTTGATTAGTCATCCTCCAGCTTATTCCTTAAGGGCAGAGATGGACCAGGACTTACACGTATTTGAATGTCGGGCATCTAACACAATACCTAATCCTTAAGTCAAATGTCTACTAAATTGAACTGAACCAAGATTTGAGGTGTCAATTCTCACTTTTTAGGATTAAGACTAATAAAAACTTTGAAATCATCAAGAAGATTTACTTGTCTCTGAATCACCTACTAATACCAGCTGGACAGCAGAAAACAAATTATTAGCCTCTTATTATCTAAAAATTCATAGGTTCTTAAAGTCCTATAATCTGAAAGCTCAGAAATAAAAGGACTATGTCATTCCACAATCAGTTTTTTACACAAATATGAAAAATACCTGTTTTATTAATGCCAATATTGATACTATCAGGAGAAAACAACAAAGATAATAATGTGACCTGGTGACCACCAAAAATCATTTCTGACCTACCTGGAAAAAACGAGTTGTGTACCCTGAGGAGAGACTGACAATATGTCTGATCATATAAAAGAATTATTTTGCATTTCCCTCATCAACTTCTGCAATTTTTTTTCAAAAGTATATACCAGATACCCAAGAGGAACAGGTAGAAAATAAAATAGTATATCAAAACAATACTGTATAAGAAAAATAAAGGACAAGGTTTTAAGTACTAAACAGAAAAACAAGTCAAATATAGAATTGTGCACAAGCCTGGTGGACCACTAAATATCAATTGATTATATCGGTTCTATTACTAGGTCACAGGGATAAATCACTTATCCCATTCCTGAAGTTAATCTCCTTTTCGCTGTCAACTTCATAAACAAGATGCATTTATTTTTACATATTCTTTTGCAAGGCCAAAGAGAGGAGTTCATAATTAGAGAAAAAAAACTATCTAGACAAAAAAGTATAATACTGTAGAATAAAAATATAGCATAAACAATAAGGTTATACACCATAAATAGATCAAAGATAAATTCAGTATGGGACTATAGGCTATCTGCCTACATCAATTCAGAAAATACTATGAGAAAAATTAACAAAATAACTTTATCAATGCACAAATCATGCTTAGAATATTTCTTGCTATTAGTGCATTTTTAATTCTTTCAAGATACTTTATAAAATCAGTGTAGAAAGTCAAATTTACTCACTAAATTTTCAGTATGATATTTTCACTGTGAAAAGGTGCAGTGGCACAGAAGTCATAAAAGAAAGATTGGTATGTCTGATACCACAAATAACATAAAAACGATGAGATACAAATTGGAAATATATTTATAACATATGGCCATCAAAGGGCTAATTTCCTTAACTTCCAAAAAAATGACACAAACCAGTTAGAAAAAAGATGAACAATCCAAATGAAAAATAGGCCAAAGTGAATAGGCCATTCACAGAAAAAATACATATAACCGACCAAAAATGTATGAAAAAATGCTCAAACTTACTCATAGAGAAATGCAAGTCAAAACAATGACTTTACTGTTTCTTTTACCTACCAAGCAAAATCTTTACAATTTGAGAATATCTAACACACTCATACATACTAGAAATATGTTGGGACAACTTCAAGTGCAACATATAGCAGTATTCAAAATTTTAAATGCAAATTACCTTTGATCTAGCAGGTAGGAACTTACCATATGGATATCCCCATAAAAGTATGCCAAAATTTCTATATGAAAACGTCTATGGAAGCATGTATTTGTAAGAGTAAAAAGCTGGTAACAGCCTAATAATCCATCACTATCAGGGAAACCATATAATGTATCATCCAAAACAAGACATTTTTTGAATGACGGAAGGTGCTAGTAATAATTATGTAGAGACAATAGGCATAAAATGTACATACTGTCTTCCTACCACTAAAAACCTGGTTAAATAAGTATGGAACAAAATACAGTGGAATACCGCAAAGGCATTAAAACGAATGAGCAAGAGCTGTAGGAATGATATGAAAGATCACCAAGAATAAAGCCAAATGCACAACTTTATGTGTTATATAACCGCTTCTGTGTACACTAAAAATTAACTTCGTAATATTCAGACACATACACAATTTGGCATAGAAACACAAGTGATATTTTGGGACTGTAGTCTTCTCTTTTTTGCTTGACTAACGCTTCTTGCCCCTTCCTCTCATTTCAGCACTGCCTTTTCCCCTTCAGAAGTTAAGCAATGTTAGAAACCTAGTACATATCCTCTCAAGTCTCTCTTCTTGATCATCTATAGACACATACATATATGTGGGAGGAGGGGTTTGGACCACTGTTTTACACATATAGAAAAATGTGATACAAGTTTTTGCAACTTTCCTTTTACTCACTCAACAACAAGGCATATCTTCTATAGGTCAAACAATACAGCACCAATGCATTTTTTTTAATAGCTATATAATATTTCATCATAGAAGCCTTAGCGTGTTTAGTCATTCTCATCCTGATGAGCACAGGTTTTCATTCCATATTTTTATCAATTATGAACCATGCTACAATAAACATTTTTGTACGTATGTTTTTATGATTTTCTTTTTTTTTTTTACTTTTTTTTTTTTTTGAGGAAGATTAGCCCTGAGCTAACTACTGCCAGTCCTCCTCTTTTTGCTGAGGAAGGCTGGCCCTGAACTAACATCCATGCCCATCTTCCTCTACTTTATATGTGGGATGCCTGCCACAGCATGGCCTTTGCCAAGCGGTGCCAAGTCCGCACCCGGGATCCGAACCCAAGAACCCTGGGCCACCAAGAAGCGGAACGTGAGCACTTAACCGCTGTGCCACCGGGCCAGCCCCTATGATTTTATTTCTATTAGATAAATTCCCAGCAGTGATATCACTGGGTTAAAGAATATAACATATATCTTTAATTTCAAAAAATGTTTCTAGAATGCCTGTAATATTTTATGTTTCTATTTTTTCTCACATTATTTTTTGGCAGGTATGATGGATATAAAATAATATCTTACTAATTCAAATTTTCTGAGCCACTAATGAATTTGAGCATTCTTTTTCCACTGAATTGTTGGATATTGGGTTTGCTCATTTTGTCAACTCCCTATTCCTATCCTTTGTCCATTTTTCTGGAGTTTCTTTTTCTTACTAATTTGTAAGAGCTTTTGGATATTATGGTATTTAACCCTTTCATCTGAAAACTACTACAAATAACAAAAGAACAATAAAAAATGGCAAAAAAATAAAAGGCTGATTCTTACACTGTTTTTTTTTTTTGATGAGGAAGATTGGCTCTGAGCTAACATCTGTGTCAATCTTCCTCTATTTTATGTGGGATGCTGCCACAGTGTGGCTTGAAGAACAGTGCTAGGTCCGTGCCCAGGATCCAAACCTGAAAACACCAGGTCCCAAAGCAAAGTGCGTGAACTTAACCACTGTGTCACCAGGCCAGCCCCTCTTATACATTTTTAAATTATATATATTTGCAATATGCCAGTACATACATTTTCATTTTTCCTGTAATGAACTAAAACACTAAGATTCAAACTCAAACCTTAGTATGAGGAGTTTATCTACACTGTAATATTTAGTTATATACAAATCTAAGAAAAAATTAATTTACCCATTATTTTTGCTCATAGTTCTTAGATCACTTTTTAGGTATGTTAATCAAACATTACAGAAGCTTCTCCCAATTACCATTAGTGCATTAGAGTACAGCATATTTCTTCATAATTTATTTAAATTTGACATTTAAAATTAAAAATCTTTGGCTTTCTTTGGTACAGCTTCCCTTTTTCTCACTTTTAAATTTTGTTTTATATTTTTTCTCATATTTATATAAACACTAGTCATGATAGAATTCAAATTCCTTCCAACTATACTCTTTTTGTCAACATTACTCTTAATACATAAAGTCATCTCTCACATAAAAAATTTTTTTAAAGCAGGCAAGACCCAAAATAAAAAGTTATTCACAAAAAGGAAGTGACTGACGGCATTTTACACTTATTAAAAGATTCATGTAGTGACTAGGCATCCTATATAAAAATTAATGCTGAAAGTATATTGTCCATAATCTGTACCTGTAACCTTATATGACATCTCTCTGTAACGAGTCAAGTCTTCTCCATTAACTAACACCAGCTGTGGACATTTTTCTTTTGCATCTCTGATATTCATACATTTCTTAACTCCAAGTTTCCTAGCTTCATAGTTGCAGGTAACCATCAAAGATTTTTGCTGAACTCCTATAAAAAAATAAACATTTTATGAGAAAATTGAGCAGGACTGAAGAAACATCTTAAAATATAATTTATTAATTCCATATTATAATTGTAAGTTGTAATGCAATTTGTTTTGAGAAGAATAAAAAGGTCTATCTCAATTAAAAAATGTCAACTCCATTCATCAAAATTCTACGGAGTAGAATTTGACAAAAATTACCATATATCAATATATTGTATGGAATCTTCAGCGAAAAGATATAAATAAAACCCTTCCAGGATTTTTTTCTGTATATAACTCTAGGCCATTTTTTACCAAAACATACAGCAGATGAAAATAACTAGGTACAATTAATTACTGGCTGCTGCTAGAAAAACTCACCTTCTGAGTAACTTTGCAATGACTATGAAACAAAGTTCTATTATAATTATTAGGGATCTCCCCCCAATAAATGTTCTAATTATTGGACTGTTCTTCACAGTAATCTGCAGAAAAGATCAGACGGTGAGGTGGCATTCTAAGCCCTCCTCATTATCAAAAATGATTAAATTATGGTCATCTACAGAATGTATCAAATTCTAGTTTACTGGTGGCTTAACATTGCTAAAATTATTCTTCTCTTTACACAAGTCGACTACTTTTTACCATTATAAAAATAACGTTCACTTAAAATACGTAAAACACAAACAAGAAGAAGGAAAATAAGGTTACACCCATTCCCCTAATGTAAGACATTTGTTTCTAAAATTTTGATATCATAAACAAGGCAAAGAAACATTATTTCACATAAAGATTTTTGACATTTCAGATTATGCCCAAAAACAGAACATTGGGTCAAAAGTAGTAATTTAAGATTTATCAGTGAACTATATAAAAAGTCAGATTGGTAACATCCTCAACTGAAAGAGCAGTCTTTTAATGCTGAATTATATGGACCACCACTATATGTCACCAGCCCACGTTTAGTCATATGTTTATTGAGTATAGCTGAAAGTCTACTTATGCATTCTCCTAGAAACTTTCATCATCACATCCCTCACTTCCGGATACTCATTCATTCCTGTCTTAATTACACAATACCTTTTTATTAAGCATTTTCTTTCTTTCTTTTTTTTTTTTTTGTCCTGCTATATCTCCCCAAATCCCCCCTGTACATAGTTGTATATCTTAGTTGCAGGTCCTTCTAGTTGTGGGATGTGGGACGCTGCCTCAACGTGGCCTGACGAGCAGTGCCATGTCCGCGCCCAGGATCCAAACCCTGTGCCATCACAGCGGAGCGCGCGCGAACTTAACCACTCGGCCACGCAGCCGGCCCTCAAGCATTTTCTATAAAACATCTTGCGTGACAATGCTACCAATTAGAAATGCATTCAGGAAAAAACTTAGGCCCCCTAATCCTAACTTCTTGACACCCTTAGGAAAATTGAAAGATCCTAGCCCAAGCTTGGAGTACCAAAAGCTAGTCATCTCTTTGTTCTTTAGTAAATCAACTAGGCTGGGTTGAACTAGGATTTATCACAACCAAACCAGGCACAAGAGAGCAGCAGCAGGTGAACCAAAATTGCTCTTTAAGCTTATACTAAAAGATAAGTCCTTACTACACGCGTAAAAGAAATTTTTGAAAATTTAAATTACTTTTCCATTTTAAGAAATAATAAAAATGTTAAAACAAGGCAACATATTAATAAGTAAATCCTCAATGTAAAATTTCTCTTTGCCTTTTATTTAAAGACACTTGTGTTTTACAGAAAGCTTGCCACATATGCCTTAATATTTAGGGTTCTGTTCAAAATCCAACTATTTTGTCAGACATCACACAATTTAAGAGTTAATTTCAAAAGGGGAAGATAGCTGAAAGCTTCCATCAAAATGTAATAAAAGTAAAGAGGTTGTTTTTGAGATAAGAGGATTGTAAAATTTCAAACATTGGGAAAAAGACTAGAAGTTTCTTACGGTCTCTGTTCAGTTGTTCAGTTGACCATACTACTTGCCTCAAACTCACCATTCAATAAATGAGGCTTATAAAGTACACACCTAGTAGTGAAACATAGATCACTGTTTATAAAGCACCTTTAAGAAGTGCTTCCAAATCTTTCTTAATACGGTTAATAAATAAGAATATAATAAACATAATAAATGAGTAGCTAATCCTCTCATACTATGAAAATATTAGCAATGCCCAGAATTACCTAAAGGTTTGCCCTTTAGTTCCGGATTTGAGATCATCTCCACTTGTGCGTAAAAGCAATCCAGATCCACGTGTACTATGACTCTGAATGAAGAACTTCCTGCCGGCACCACTTGATCATGAACTGCATGCACAATACGCAAAAAAATACAAAACGTATTTAGGCTGCTTATCATCCCTGAGCAACTGACATTCCTTAAAACATGGTAACTGAGAAAGAAGAATGTAGAGTGACTTTAAAAGATTTTTCCTGGAGGTATTGCGTCAAAGCATCTAAAAATTACAAACATGAGAGAAACTCCACCTACAGTAGAGTATTCAGTCCTGTTACTAGCATTTTTTTGTGCGCTGTATTTTTCTCAGGATAGCAATAAATTTGAGGAATTGATCAATAACGGAAGTTGTAAGAGATAATCCTACCACTAGGAAGTTTACAGTAAAATTTAGAGTAAATCAGAGGGGGCACACGAGTTTAAACGCTGATTTCAACCAACAAAAATTATTCCAAGTGGCATGTCCCTAAACTAAAAGACAAAAATCAGAAATACAAAACAGCAGAAGACAGAAACTATGGGTCCCAGTGGTCTGTATTTAGCGCCCACAGGAAAGCAGGATTATCTGGTTCAGTGCTGAATTCCCAGTACCAAGAACAGTGCCTGACATTTAACAAACCACCAACGAATACTCGCTAAACTGAAACAATGAGTAAATATTTCTTGCACTTTAAAAAGCAGTTCATGCCATGGGTGGGAGGGATAAGACAGGAGACTACAGCTCTTAACACCAGTTAAAACAAAGTAGGCTAAATGCAATGTGCCATTCTGGTTTGGATCCTGGAACAGTAAAAAAAAAAAAAATTGAGTGGAAAAAACTGGTAAAATCGGAATAAAGCTTGCACTTCAATTAATAATATTATGCCAATGTTAATTTCTTAGTTTTGACAAATGTATCACGGCGATGTAAGAGATTAGCGTTAGGAAAAGCTATCTCTGCAACTTCTGTAAACGTAAAATGATTTCAAAATTTAACTTTAATAATAATAATAAATGGGCAAGCAAGGAGAGCCCTGGCCCCACGCGCTGGGGATGGGTGGCACAAGGTAGAGCCCAGAGGCTGGAAGCGGGCACCGGCGAGGCAGCCCCAGCAGACGGGCCTCGGCCTCGGTTTCGAGCCTCTCCTTCCAGGCCGGGTTGAGGCCAGGCCCCAACCTGTGCCAAGCGGGCGACAAGGCTCTCCACTTCTGCACCTTGAACCGCCCCGAGCCTCTCAGGCTTCTGGCGGGCGGGTGGAAGGATGACAAATGCACCCTCGACGAATACCCTGTCGCACCCACCCTATTCCTACTGGACGAAGCCATCCCTCTCCTGCTCTCAGCTACAAAACACCCATGCAGGGCGGTTCTCGGCGCAGCCAGGAAGACGGAAAGGAACCGAGCGGGGCGGGGACCGTCACACCCCAACGGCCACCGCCGCCGCCCTGGTGTCCGCCCGCCCCGCCCTTCTCATTTACACCAAGGAAGGCCGCCGAGCTCCTCAGGCTCCGGCGTCCCCGGCGAGTCTCCGGCCCACGCCTCCGCCCGCTCCATGGCTCGAGCCGCCTCCTCTTCCTGGTCGCGGCCGCCTTCCTCCTCGGGCTCCACCCCCAGCTTCTCCCTCCAGCCGAGGCCAACCGCCGCGCAGCTTCCGGCCGCGGCCGCCCGGTCTCCAGGGAAACCGTGGGCCGACCGCCCCGGCGCCTGCGCTGTCCGGGCTGACGCGCCAGCTGCCCGGAGGGAATCGCGGACTGGGAATCGTCCCGACCCACGTTTGGAAGTTTCCTCCTGCCGAGTCGAGGCCGGAAGTGAGGAATTGCCATCCCAAACTGCTCGTGTTTTTCTTGAGGGCTTCGGTGTTAGTTCCACACCACAAATGTTACCTTTTAATCTTTTCTGAGAGGCCATCGTGGCCTCCCAATCAGCGTTAGCAAAATTGCCAGCCCTAAGAAACTGAATGATTTATAATGATGGGAGTCGGGGAAAGGGTGGAAATTATGGTAAGAGCAAGGTGGTCATGTAAACTAATAAAATTAGCAAATATGTTGAGGTTTGTTGCATTTTGTTTGTTGTTTGATTCACAGATACTGTGACAAATTGGAACTCTGAATTTTTAATCATTTAAACTGAATAGGATTTTGGTATATGAGCTTTGAGGTCATAAAATCCCCAATCCAGACCGTACAACTTGCTAACTGTGATCTGGGCCGGGTTACATAACTGCTCCGAGCCTCAGTATCGCCACTGTAAAAAAAAAAAAGAAAAAAAGCTGTCTTGGGTGTCTTGAGATTTAATGAATGAATGGATGAAAACTAACATGTACTTTAATATTCCAATGTATATAAAGCACCTGGCACCGAGGAGGTGCTTAATAAATGTTAGTTCTCTTTGCCTTCTGTTAAGATGCCTGTGTGCCTGGGTGTAGGTGTGGGAGGGGTGTGTTTGTATACATATATACATGTATTCACACACATTTTGTTTTTTACAGGATCTGCTCTTGTAAATAGGATGTGAGAACATTGAGAAACCCTTTGAAGGACATGTTGATGCGTCCATGAAGGAGAAGGAATAACGAGCAGAGCCGGGGCTCTGGTTTGGAGACCCAGTTCTTCCTCTTTGGATATTTTACCCTTAGACATCTGGACCAGTTCCTTAAAAGTCTCCAGTCTAGGATCTAAGACACTGATTTAGAACTATACTGCTTTCTTTGTGAGTGCTGTTTGATAAGTCTAGATAAAGAGCTTTCGACCTTTTGAATTAAATACCTCTTTGGTCACTAAGTGCCTCTTGGGCTCTCTTCAAGGGTTCAATTACTTGTAGACAACGAAGGTATTTTTTTAATTCCTCCATGTTGAGAATGATACACACCTCTAAAATACCATGGCAAATTAAAACAGCTCCTTTCTAAGAGTCCTGGGCTCATTAACACTCAGCAGCTTGAGTAAAAGTGAGCCAGCACTGAAAAACAAAACACATAATCGAGCCCTCTCTAGTTGCGTTTATTTCTCTGTCAGTTATCAAATTGAAAAGTGGCTTTTAATTTAGTAAAAGGATAGACAAATGGAACTTTGAAAACCCTAGGGGAACAAGCCAAGCTGGCTTTATGAGTGTATACAACCTATGCAATAACAGAGCTACCTAGAAGGGCCCCACATGTGGTCTAATGATGTGCTGTTGTCTTGAAATTCTTAATAATTTTGAATAAAGGACCCGTCCTTTACATTTTGCACTGGACCTCACAAATTATTTAGCTGGTGCTGGGGACAAAGAAGGGAGGTGGCACGGAAAATGACTTATTAAACCACCTATATGTTGGGCACAGAGCTAAGAGTTTAGAACAGATTATCTCATTCAATGTGCCCTAGAGGGTAGGAATCACTATTCTCATTTTACCAAAGGTGAAACAAGCCAGCAGAGACTAAGGTGCTTATTCAAGATTACAAAGTTAGTAATGGTAGATTCATTTTTCAGAGTTTTCCATAGAGAAGAATTCATTAATAATATTTCTTCCATAGAGGAAATCTCTCCCTCTGCCCATTTTCCTTGGTGCTTCAAACACCAGACGACCTGGAGTATGGAGAATAAACATTCCTCGAATATATTAGGAGGCATCAAAAGAAAATTATATGAGCTAATTTGTGTTGCTTTGTTGTGGGATGAATTAGGGAAAGCGTTTTTGTTTTTTGTTTTTTCTTTTTAATTCTATAAATCCTTTCCCCCCATTTTAATTAAGGGACTCTAATCTAGGATAATTTCAGGAAGTAAATATTTTGAGCCTAGATCATAGTATTATATTTAAGTGCCAAGTGAGAAAAACACAAGGTAGAATAAGCATATTTAAGTAAATAAAATTATGGTTGAAACTATATTCATGAGGGAGCGTGGGGCTGCAGAGTGTGGCTAGTGGATAAAGAAACTGGAAATATTTTAGTGCTTCAGAAGTCAAGACATTATGAATTTACATATGTTAAAAGTGACAAGCATGAACACCCATGTCAGTGAGAGGTGGGAAACAGCAGTGCCTGCTTCTCTCCTCCTGGCTGAGTTGACCACATATGGTTCAGAGGGAGGACTCTTGACAATGTTCAAGGGCTTCAGCATGAAGAGTGTAAGGGTGTTTGTGAGTGTCTCTATTTTAGGTTGGTGGTAGGTAGGTAGGTAGAAGTTGATCGTGGGGTCGAAGGAACAATTTGAATTGGCAGTGGCACAAAGGGCTTGGTTTTGTATGTTGTTTGGTCTTCTCAAGTGGGGTCCATTTTGTCCCCTAGGAGATACTTGGCAATATCTGGAGGCACTTTTGGTGGTCATATGTGGGGGATTGGAGCTCTGTGCTACTGGCATCTAGTGGGTAGCGGCCAGGGATATTGCTGAACATCCTACAATGCACAGGATAGCCCTTCACAACAAGGAATTATCCAGCCCAAGGAGCCAATTGGGCCAAGGTTGGGGCATTCTGGCCTAGTAGTGTTTACACCATCCTGCTCCCAACTCCCTCCTCTGCTGAAGGTCCTCAGTTGTAATAAAGAATTGGTCTTCAGATATGTGCTTTTAGTTATAAATATGACATTTTTAGAACCAGGAGGATATAAGAAAGGGAGACAAGTATTATTTAGTTGCTTTTCACTGTAGGAATTTACATTCTGAGGCTAAAGAGTAAATGAATGCATTTGCTAGAAAAGAAGTTTAAGAAAAATATCCATACTTTTATGGAGCTTCTGAGTTGCCCCTAGGGTGAAAGGCTAATGAGTCAGAAATAATTTACAAGGCTTAGAAGCTAAAACCAGAAAATACAAAAAGGCTTCAGATGGATGAAAGCAAACTATAATTATGATATGCTGTTGTACCAGGTGCATGTCATGTAGTATTTACTTACTAACGTTCATCCAAGGATCTTGAACCCTTTGCATAAAAACTTCAAACATTGTGAAGAAATCCTCTTCTCTCTCTTTTTTTGCACATCACGCTGCACACCAAAGCTGCAGTTTCAAGCTTTCTCAGTGTAATCTAAAAATATTTGCTACATGCCATGAGATTGTGGCTAAGAAATGGTGTAAGAGGCTGGAGTTTTTCTAACAGTCAGCGTCTCTTTGCTTTGACCTTTCTTTGTGGTTCTGTTGAAGCCTGCATAGTAATTTTAGTAATGACCTTTAAAATGTTGCTTGTCAGGGTGTGCTCAATGGACTTTGCCTTGTCATTTTGGATGGAGAGAGGTGGGGACTAATGTGATCACAATGCAAGTGATTCGGTCCCAGTTTGTAAATAAAGTCTGCAAAGTTCAGTCATTGAGAAAAGGAGAACTACTTGATGTCATATAGAAAGTGCAAGCAGATTGACATAGTTCAGGTATACTGTGTTGAATTTATGGACACCTATCTTTAATGTAACAATTTTAAAAAAACTAACCTCTTTTTCTGACTGCGAAAGTAATTTGTGATTATTATCGAGAACTTGGAAAATACAGACAGGAGGTAAGAAGAAAATGGAAATAACCCATAATCTTGTTGCTCAGGGATAACCATGCTTTAACAGTCCTTCATAAAGCAGAAGTTAAAAAGAAGGTTTTGTTTTATTTCACAAATAAATTTCTGTATCTACTTCTTTACCAAGCTACAAAAACCATTGTGAGAGTCATTGCCTGAATAAATGACGTAGAAAAACCTTTATAAACTTACTTGTTTTTGATGTTAATTTGAAGGAAATGAATAAATGTGGTTGCAACATCCTCTTGGAAATGTTAATAATTTCAATTTAATCAGTAATCTCTATTTTCCTGGTTTGAGTGTGATATAAACTCTCTATAAAGGAAAATAATATTTATAGGACTTCTTTCTTTTGTTGTTTGTTGTTTGTTTTTTTTTTTTTTAGGAAGATTAGCCCTGAGCTAACATCTGCTGCCAATCCTCCTCTTTTTGCTGAGGAAGACTGGCCCTGAGCTCACATCCATGCCCATCTTCCTCTACTTTATATGTGGGACGCCTACCCCAGCATGGCTTGCCAAGTGGTGCCGTGTCCACACTTGGGATCCGAACTGGTGAACCCCAGGCTGCCAAAGCGGAATGTGCGCACTTAACTGCTGTGCCACCAGGCCGGCCCCTATAGGACTTATTTCTTAAAGTTGGTTCAAAGACTTCATTAAAGTACCTGTTAATCCTGAAAGTACTGCATATACTTCTGATAAAAAATTTTTTTCTTCTCATCCATTGTTTAAGATACTCCAGTAAAACAAAAAGGTATAAGGCATAAAGTGAAAACCCCCCATTATCCACACTGCACCTTGAGATAGCCACTGTTAACAGAGTTAAGCACTGTTAACAGTATTTATTGATAGGCTTCATCAGACTTTTTCTTATAATGCTTAATATGGGGTAGACATAGTGATCATCATTTCTAATTTACATGAGTGGGATCATACTACACAGACACTTCTTCATCATGTTTTTTCACTTCATATCTCTTGATCATCACTTCTTTTCTGTGCACAGAAATCTACTGCCTTTTTTTTGGTAGATGCTCTGTTTTACCAGTTTCATATTGATGGACACTTATTTCTGATTTTTTGCAGTAGTGAACATCCTTGTGTGTCTATCTTTGTATCCTTCTTCGGGAGTTTGATCCCACCCTTCCCTAGGACAAATTTAACCTCCTAAAATTCTATAAGAATTTCTTTATCTTTTTATATTAAGAAACACTGTATGAAAGTATGCCATGATACACGAAGCCTGTCAGTTCTCCTTGCAAATGTTCTTTCAAATCCTTCCACTTCT